GGAAAACCCTGATTCAAAACCAATGGTGCACATGGGCTCCAGTATCCTAAAAGAACAAATGGCGTATGAATCAATTATTGGTCACCGGCTACCATGGGACTGCATCTCCTTACGATGCTCCACTGCCTTGTGGATCGGACCTTCAGGTCGAAGGCTCCGGGTGTGGCCCCCTAAAGAAACCACCTGCTTCGGTTTGGGCACCCGGGCAGTATCACAGCCCTCACACATATCAAATGAGATTTGTGTGGCGCATATGTATTTGGTGCCTCCTTGTACCAATATCTATGTGTTAAAATAAATAAATAAAAATACTTAATAAGATATCAAGGAAATTAAGTTTGTTGTCACTCTCGTTCTGACCAGTGGGAGTGATTGCCGAGTGTAAACTGCCAAACTGACTTAGGAGTACTTATTTGTTAGTATTCTGATCCAAGACAATGAATGTGTCGTCGATGTAGCGGCAGCACAGATCTTATTTATTAAAAGCCTTATTAAGGGGTCCATTTTTTAATTTTACTACGAAAAAACAGCTACAATTGGGTCTAGATGTGATCCTATAGCTATTCCATAACTTCATGTATAATAAACAATATTAAGAACAAAACGGACATTCAACATACATCTTAAGAGTAATTCTTTCATGCCATCCTCAAAGAAGCTAACGTCGGCTTTCTATTCCGATATTTGCTTACATATAAACTCTATGGTCTGGACTAGTGTTACGTGGGTAAATAAAGTTACATCTAGTGAGATCATATGTTTTGTACTAATATTCATATTTTGCACTTTGGAAATGAAGTCGTAAACGTCTATGACACTTTCGTATGGTTGATTTGTACAGAGATTCTAAGATTCGAACCAGCCACATCGTAATTTTGTGATATGGAGAATTGTACATATTTAAAACTGGATGGAGAGAAGGACCCGACTAATGGACTTTTGGTAAACCGTACAGTTGTAGTGTATTTGGTCCAATCATTTTAAGTGAATCATAAACTCAGATGTGATTATTGCCTCTTACTTCAGTTCTTTAAGAGAATTAGTTTAGGATTTTGATATAAATATTCATATATATTAGAAGAAAGCCTGACAATGATCTAATTGAAAACGAAACTGTTCAGTTGTATATATGTTGTTCTAAGTTCCTAAAACACAATCACTTAGGTTGACTAGCCGACAGCAAACAGCTTTGTGTGAATAATTGATGTGGTTACTTGAATCATTACATGATACTGCAGAGCATAATTTATCCAATGTACATACTATTCCTGTATGACATAATGTCGTTTGCTGAATACAGCTTTAGGTAAATCGGCTGTTTCTCGTGTTTTATTATTTATGAGCTACTAACGTAGCCCATTTATGAAAACCAAAGTACGTGGGTCAATATGTGAATTTAAGGTGTTAGCCACCAATTTACCATTAACTCATTTACGACACGCGGTAACGATAACCTATCATCATCATCCTATAGTAAATAAACACACTCAAATACACACATCATTTTTTCAATGTTCAATTATATTCCAATATCTCTAGCATTTCGGAGCACATGCCTGTTGATTTAGTGAATGAAAACTGCATATAAGAGCATGGTCTTCTATGAATACACCACTGTGGTTTATCCCAACTTACGGGATCACAAAAAAAACAAAGTTACAGTTTGAAATGAAATCCTCAATGGAAATTATTCTGTTGAATAGAACACTCACTCATTAAATGAACGAAACAAAAAGATGGCTGAGGATCTTTGATACCTTATATGCATATATTGAATATTGATAAACAAATGAGCTATAAATTCATAGGAAACTTTGGTATAACGATTCCTTTCAAAACTTATTACCAAATGATCAGTAATTCGACTTGACTACTAGAAATGACAATCTTATTCAATTTCGGTTTATTTATATCTTTGATAATCCAATATTGTTTTACATTTAATTTTTGTTTAAAAAATAATGGTTTAAATTCACTTCATATTGTTTGGCTTGTATCTTCCCATTGAGGTTTAAGACTGCAATTGATCGGTCTGCTATTGGCATATGTGCATACTGTGCGTATGCCTCAATATTGCCTTAATTCACAAGCTTTGTAAGCAATGATGGATAGTGGCTAGGAGTGGAATCCAGAACGCGCGTTTCTCCCTAACGCGATGGCGTTTGATGCGAATGGTACTGGATTTGAGTCCTAGAGTGAACATCGACTCTAAGATGCAGGTACATCCGGCTGACGAGTCCCAAATAGGACGAAACGCGCGTTCTGGATTCCACTGCTAGCCACTATCCATCATTGCTTACAAATAATGGTTTAATTGTCAAAAAAACTAAAGGGAAACCCTCTCCCAATGAAACACAAACATATACACACGTATATATATACATATGTTTGCTAGCTTCTTAGGTTCTCTTTATATGTATGAATGTGTACCTGTTGTATGCATAAATTATCATGACTTCTAAACGGAAGTAAAAATAGGACTGAATCGAAACAAACAAACAAACCAACATATAAGTTGAACAAGTTTATGCATAAGAATAAATGATTCAAGTTATCCATTATGGGGTAAGAAGTATAATCCAAATTAAGAGTTTAATGTTTCCTGATTTGAATATGAACCATTATTGAAAACTATTATTGTTAGTATTAATATCATCATTAGAAATTTATATACATAAATGAATTTGTTAAGTAAATAAATAGTAAACTATTTCTGGTAAGAAGCTGTGACGAATTTTGAGATGATTACCTCTTAGAGGCAACAGAGGCTAGTTGTGGAACATCGTGTGATGATTGGAGTTAGACATATAAACCATTGGTTCCGTTCTCAGTGATTCAAAGATTAAGTGCTTAACAGATAAATCTAGAGGTCTTGGGCTGGATCTCTTGCAGGGAATTTAATGGGTATTGTTGATTAGTTTAATATTAAGACAAAACAGAAGAACTGGACGGCCGTTTCGTCCTGTTGTGGGATCTCCCACCAGTGCTCATCCACGATCCCGCCTCGCGAGATTTCAACCCAAGGACCCATCAGTCGTACGCGCGAACGCTTAACCTCTAGACCACTGAGCTGAAGAGTTATCGTCATCACTTTCTAACACACACACCCACTGTACATTTATTTACAGAATGTCATTCTATCAAAATAACCTTGATTTTGTAGAGTATCAACACTGAATTAGGTCAGTGTTAATAAGCTATTCATGTGACCTTACTGTTTGTAGCACCTTTCTTAGTCGAATCATTGACATTTAAACAAAATGAACGTTAATATTCGATCCAATGATTTTTTCTTTTATTGTGCTGTTATAAAATTCAACAATTTGGATCAATACGTATTTGTGTCAGATTCAATAACTTTATACCTGTCCGTCCTTTTACTTGTTTACTCGTTTGTGTTACACTAATTTAACTTATGAGGAATTGTACGAAATGTTTCTTTTTCTTACATTACTTGTATACAGTCAATATATAATGTGTTTTTAAGATGGTAAGATTTGTATTTACGTTGTATGGTTTTAGTGGAGTTTTGTTCTCTGATTCCAGTTGTTTAATGATTAGGCTTTCATTGTTAAAAGCCTGAATACAGAAACACCATGAATGCCAGAATTTTTAAAGGATTTACATTCACGTCAATCAGCAACCAGTAACCATATCGAAATTGACCTAATTTATCAAATAATTAGAAAAATCATGGACATTTATGAGGTCTTAAATCAGGTCTAAGGAAGTGACAGTCAGTTAGTAAATTGAAACAACATAGTGCCTGACATAACTGTGCGTTGGTCAAAGTATCCATGCCACATTGGCATTGTAAGATAAAAATACCATGAATAATCGTAAAAGAGATCGGTATCATGTAATAGCAGTGAAGATCAGAAAAAATAAACATTGAATGTTAGGAATATGGTTAGAAACAAAATAACATGGAAAGGCATGTATGAAGAAATGCTGAGATTCTAGACCAAAACGAAGACGAAGAATGAATATACCTGCACCACTTTGGATGATTCTAAGCTATATCACCCAGATTCTCCAACTGCTAGTCGCAGTTATCACGACAAACAGAATTTGGATCTATCAACATCACTCAGACTGACAGTCAATCTGGTATTGTGTTGTTTAAGCACTCCTAGCTTTTATCCAACCTAATACTACGTCGATAAGCATCGCCCGTTGAAGGAGGCAGTGATTAGGCATACCTAACACTTGTCTTTGACACCTCATTAGATAAATATTCCCTACCTCATCAATAGATTTAACATTTTTATATGACACCGTACGTTTAATCCCAGTACTGCCTACTCAGTGCCCTCCGTATACACGAGCAATGAGTTGAAGTTGTTTATCATCAAATGCTAGATCATTTCGAATGCAGCTCAAAGTAAGGTATTTGGCTAATAATAAAGTTTTTAAAGATGAGTAAATGCAATAGGTAGTAAAACAAAACAACATAGGACATCACAAAGCTGTAAATAAATTCATGAAATGATAAAAACTATCTGTCAACTAACTGAGATTGAAACATTGGAACACTAGACAAATAAATACAATTAAATGAATTTATGTTGTGAAATGTACTTCAGTTAAAATCAGAATAAAATATTATCGGTTGGTGGACACAGAGGGTCTACCTAGGAGAGTTGGAAAACCCTGATTCCAAACCAATCGTGTACATGGGCTCCAGTATCCTGAAGGAACAAGTGGCGTATGAACCTATTATTAGTCACCGGCTATCATGGAACTACACCTCCTGACGTTGCTCAACTGCCTTGTGGATCAGGCTCCAAGCGTGGCCTCCTTAGGAAACCACTTGCTTCGACTTGAGCACCCTAGCAGTATCATAGACCACACATAAATCAAAGGACTTGTGCGGCACATATATATTCGGTATCCCTATGTACCAATATTTATGTGTACAAATAAATAGATCTATATAATAAATAATTCATATTTATTCTATCTACTTAATTGTCATGAAATAGGTTACGTTTTAATACCTCGAAATGAATTTCATTTAAATTTTGTAATATAAATAAAGCTTAGATAGATTTAATAACTATAAATGTTTTAAAGTATGATAATACATTTAAATGTGCTATAAATATTCATATACCGAATCACATTTTGATTTTCTAAGATCAAATTTAACAGTAATATAATTGGAAATTAAGTTAATTTTTATTTTAGTTTAGTCTAGTTTATTGGTTAATTTACAAGCTACTACTATTGTAACTGTTATAGAAATTCTTTAAATTATGTTTCAGGATGAGCGGTCTTAGTCTTGTTTAAAGTTCATCAGTTGTAGATTTATTCATCTCAATACAAATATCAATACTAAAATACTATTTAAGTACCACTTGAGGTAAAGAATTCTGATGACAGTTAGCCATAAGCTCTAACTCGACCTGTTGTTTTCGAGTACAGAGTCTTTATAAGATTATTGTACTACTTTGGTACTCCTTTCAGTGACAAACACTGTCACAGAACCACGCTTCAGATTCCTTATAGCATTTTCAACCTCGTAAAGAGTTGGAGGACTTACATTAACTTACCATTCAGGTCGACTGAAGGCCGGTTGAACTGATCCCTAAAGTGTTCTGCCCATCGATCCAATCTCCTGAACTGAGAGTGAATAATATATCCATCTTTTTCCGAGATAGTTTCGCTAACAGTCGGGTTCCTAATACCGGTTTCCTTAACAAGTCTGAGCAGTTGTCTGGCTGACTGACTGAGTTAAGTACTTGTTATTTTACAAGACAAAGATTCATCCATTATGTCACTTAGTCTCAGTTTATTCAACAAATAAAAAGGTATTTCTGTGGAATAGAAATTATAGGTCTTACAGACAGTTTTATGGAATGCGTTTGAAGCACAATAAGATTCATCGCTTTAATTATAACTAACAAATAACATTTTAGATAAGCTTTTTCTATAAACCATCATTCTGAAGTGAAATATATTATACAGTCTATATGCTAAACTAGCTCATTTGGATCCTATCTACTTACCAACAGAAATATAAGTATATTAGCAAAAAAATTTGATTGTAAAAAAAATTAACTATCATTTTAAACATTTCAGATCCACATAAATCAGTATAAGACCCATAAATGATACAATACTCAAATTATGATGACAGTAGCAGACGAAATCTCAAATATACATCAATACATCATCATACAGACATCGCAACTGGTAAAATACATAAAAATAGTCAACAAAGTACGGTAAACAAGCCATTTTTTTCTAATAAACTTATTACACCAACGGACTGGTAGGGGTTTATTTTATTTACGTCATTACACCATAGTGTGCACACACATTATCTTAGCTTTTGAACTTATTTTAATAACGAAAACGGTATGTGGCTCACGAGTCGGTTTTACCTTTCTAATGACTTTTTTTTCATAGAAAGTCATGAATTTATCCACAATTATCACATATATTCACATCCTCCTAATTCTGCACTTATACATGTGTGATTGCGCATACGTCTGTACATTTGTCTGAAAAATACTCTTCCAACTCAACTCATACTTCTATTATCACTGTCGCCAAACGGAGTCTTTATAATATGATAGGCTAAATGAAAGATTTATTTATCGTTGCTAATTATGCAGTTCAGTTGTGCACTCAAAAATGGATTAAACTATTTTGATGGTAAACAGCATAGCTAGTAAGATAATAAGAAAATCCCAAATTTTGTGAAATGAATCATTTTAACTAATATAAGATTCTAAACTTAGGTCTGCTACTTAACCTATACAACCAGCCTTAAAAATGCTAGTACTTTTTGATAAGAAATAACAGTAAGTGCCAAAAAAGGTTTCTGTATCCATGCTTATAGGTTTATTGGTAATAAAACATCAGTAATCGTTTTTGCTAAATCATAACTTCAACAAACAATGGCTCACCTGGAATAGAAGCATCCCAAAAAAACAGAACAATATCAGAAATTATATTCAAATGAATCCACTGATAAGCATTCCCAAATGAACACAGACAAAATATCAGTAGCGAAAACCATCTTCTCTTGTATAGGATGACCGTGAAGCCATCGGCCTCTTTCTTTTGCATTTATCAAACACTGTTATAATCAAATTAAACAAAGTGGAAAATATGAAATAACACTTAGAAATGTGTGGTGAGCGCTTTTACAGTTCATTTGCTGTACTTGAAATATAAGACTTACTTGGTATCTATTATAGTGCATGGCCTTACTGGCTTTGAAAGTAATCAGTATACAAATTGTAAACATTTTTAACTTTGAGACAAGTTCCTGACATGTTTTGAATTTCGACTTTTGAAGGAAATCAGAAGTAGGGATAGTGTATAAGGAACATGCTTTTAATACTTCTCTTGAAAAGTCTTGAGTCATTGTTAATCCTTATAGAAAACGTTTTCTATGGAATGCAGAAAGATCTGAACACGAACTGGATTACGTTTATGAATAAGAAACTACTTATCAAGTACACATGTCAAGTTTACTTAATTAAGGTGTCCTATTAGAGGATAACCAATTATGGTTTTAATAAGTGTCGAGATTATCTGTTTTGTTATCATCTGTTAAGTTTTCAACAACGAAATATATGACGTATACAATATTTTGAAGCTTACTAAGTCATACGATTAAGGATTCTAGTTTTCACATAAATCTGTGAGCATTAGTCGACAAATGGCACTCAATTAATCGATTCGACATTTTTAAGCCTTTAGTAGACGAAACCTTTAGTAACATTCAAAATAATCACTTGATAATTAAACGAATAATACAAATTTTACTGAATTATAGTACCTCATGGACTTATTTAATCCTTTACGTATAGAGGTTACGAGAAACACTTGTTTATTATGACGACACATCCAGACAGTTTAATCATGCTTGTTAGTCGAATGTCTGAGATTTACTCAGATAATTTTTACATGTTATGTATTAATAAGAGCTATGACATTCATATGTTGATTTTGAATGAATTGTTCATCCGGGATAAATAGAAATACAACCATACACATGTCTAAATATGAATCAACATTTTTTATTTACTCAAACCCTATATTTACGTGAGCTGCTTTGTCAAAGAATGATGTAAAACACGAGGGAAAAGTTCGGTAATACGCAAATCAACATACATTGTGTGCGTTACGATAAAAAATTTATCACACAAAAACTTTAGCTGCAGTTTGAAAGCTCATTTTAAGTCTTCGCAAAATAGAATATAAACTTATTCGATCTAAATGCTGAAATTTTAAATAATGCACAAAACCATGTTTGTTAAAGTGTCTTCACTTCGACAAAAAAGTATCTTGTACAACTTGTAGTGAACCAAAACAGTCAATATTAAGATTGACGCTCACATTTAACAATGTAAATGCTCGTACCTGATGCGTATGACGGTGACATGAAAGCTGCTCAAACCAAGCACTTATAGGCAATAATCACCTCACTATCTTTGTTGATCGATTTAAACACGTTTTCCGATTGTCCGTTCATCTCCAAAAATACAGGACAAGAAGTGTTGTTTCATAATAAAGACCTCATAAAACTATTAAATTATCAGTTTTCAACCAAGAAGTATGGACAAAATACTGGTGTCAATCATTTTTCTACTGAATATGATTGAACGTATAAAAAGTACAGCACAGGTAACAAAACTGGGATCTGAAGTACCTCACGCAACATTTGGTGTCGCGTAGATTTCAGGGTCTGTAAAATGTCATTGAGACCCTACAAGGTCACCTGTCAAACGGAAATGTTACTAGATTAGACGAGACATCACTAAGTGTTGAGCCAATGTCAAGGTTGACACACACGAGATAATATTGGTGCATCATTGAATGACACAATGCAAAGAGCCTTGACAGAAAACTTCTACGGTCTTTTCCTATAATACATTTCTTGCGTAAAATCATTTTTGTTCCAGCCAGCCACTAAAGGAATCGATTCAGCTGGTTATCATGAAAAAAATAGTCAAAACTGGATGTTGACAATAAGGTCTGAAACCGACTCAACCTAAATGAAACTATAGCACTGCTTTGTAAACAGAAATAACTGGCTGTTGACCGTCAAAATTGTTGACTCACAGGAAGATTCTTAAACTGACATGTTCTACTTTGCGCTGTACGACAAGAACTTTATACGTACAAGTACATTATTTTAAATCTAGATAGCATCTAGTACAAATGATGTCTCTGAAATTACAAAACTTTTGAAAACTTGGCGGAGAGTATCGGAGAATATATATGTATACATATACATACATATAGGTTGCCTGTGAATTACCAATAGGTATCCTCTTTCGATGACGTTGAGAAAAGTTTACTTGCAAAAAACTTCTGAAAGATTGAAAATAATGATAAAAAGTAGTGAAAAACATGGCGAATTCCCACTGCAAATACCACATACACTTTTCACCACGTAGCTGATCATTCACATTTATTCCCAGTCTTTTGTGACGTTAAAATATGGCAGTATGAATCAGTCAGTATCAGTATACTACTGTAAATAATTTGCATATTGGTGTAGAAGCACGATGAAAATTTTATTGGAAACACATACACCTTTTCTCTACTTTTCCTTTTGTTAAGTATCTTGATATTAATTTTCATTCTACCGCTGGTTTTGTTTGTTCATATTCCCAAGTCAAATATAGTCATCTCGATCACTGTGATAAATATTTACGGAGTTGGTGCTTGATGTGAATCTTTGGAAAGAATATCAAGTAGAGTTTAGTGTACCGGTCATTATTGTCATTATTATCAAGACATCGTTGCTACTATCGTTAGCAAGTGGCTAGAGCTTATGATTGTCATCCTTAACTTTTGTTGGTTCACTTATGTCCCGGCAGTCAGACGTAAGGTCAGTTGAGTTGTTTCCTATTCTCAAACATTGGCCGCGAGTGCATCAGCCGCGTCACCGAGTTTAATCTAGTGGTCAGCCTAAGTTGCTTCTTTAATTCACTCAAAGAAATGGCAGAATCTTACCACTGAGGCGGTTTACCGGATAGTTACTCTACCGCAACTGTAGCAGACAACCCACTGAATGATCCGTCATTTGCGACCCTGTCTATGTGAAGCAGACTATTCGGCACTCAGTAATCAGTCTTCTGACGCATTTAATTAGTTCAACTTCGTTGGCGACAATTCTCTACAGACCCCACTACTTTAGGGAGACATTTTTATTCTTATTTCACAAAACGTTTGAGGCAGCTTGAACATAATATAAGTTTAAAGTGTTCTTATCAATCTTGTATTTAGGTGAAAGCTTACAAATTCGTATACTTCGGTTTGACAGAAAAGTGTGTTACACATGATGTACATGTGATGTTTAAGCTGAATAACTTATCTGGAAACACTAATATTTGGCACTAATCCGGGATAACCCAGTTGGGATAACATATCTAGTGACCGTCTTGTTTACAGATGGGAAACTCACTATCTTTATTCTCTAGCAATTAAAGCAGCTTCTACTTTGTAACCGTTCGCCCATCATGAATACAGCATTCTATCTTTGTTTACATTGATTGCTTTATATTAAATGTGTTGAGTATTAGCAATTTGTCAGTAAATAGGGTTGATGGTTATGCATTTATCATTTAAAATTGCAAGCTTTGCTCCGTTAAAGCGAAACAGCTTGAGTAATGAATAAACTTGCGAAGGTATCACAATCACTGCTAAATCCACAACTTAACTATTTCAGCATGTCTAAACAGTTGTTGTACTTATGATTAAATTTTTTAAAAACGTTAGAAGCTGTTAGATTCATTAAAAATGTCACAGACGTTCAAAGTGGCATCAGACAGCACTTTTTCAACAGTGACATGCAGTTGGTAAGACTCAATTACCACTGATGGAATGATAGTTCTGTCAGTCAAGAACACTCCTCCTATAATTACGTTGGTTTCGTCATGGCCTTCAGTTAACATTAACAACCTGCCTGTCTTCGTGCTATTATCATGTAGATCACTAACGTAGATGATCTTTCGGATGAGTGAGGGATAACTAACGTCGAAATCACACCTCCCGTTTAGTACCTGAAGTGAATTACCCTTTCATCGTATCCAGGTGTTATGGTTGTGTTGGTGACTGTAGAACACAAACGACATTATTGCAGTATTATATTCGTAAGAGTAGGAGCAAGAAAGTGTCAGACCACCTCTTCATTGACTAGTCCATGACGTTCAACTGACTGATCCGCGTTGATTGTCCTTGAACTAGATGAGGATCAACAAACTGTTTGAAGTTCAGTGACCCGACTGCTAGATGATTTATTTAGGACCCAGCGACACTTCAATGGCCCTACAATTATTACCACCATGTCTGTATGAATATGTATGCTTGATCATATGTGACAACCCACCCGTAAATCCTCCTCCCCAGCTTAGATGTTTGTTGCTCGAAGATCACTCGATGAATCATACACTTCCTGAATCTTCAAAACTGATTCAACCCTAAGTTCGCATCAGTATTCGCTTGCTTAGGCGTATCAGCTTTCCTGCTCAAATACTGATGTGCTTGTATATTTGTATCTGCGCTGTAGGATGATAAACTGTCGTCGGCGCTTCAGCTGTCTTCTGCATTCATACACCATTGAGATATTTTTAGTAACGGTTTTCCGAGTGATTGACATATTAAATTTTAGGAATTACCACAAAGCCAAGCTACTACAATCCTACCCAAAGGAAAGTGACAGACAAATTCAACTTCCCCCAGCGTCAAAGTATCAACAAATGTGAACATCAAAAGCCCCTGAAACAAGTAGGGGATGAACTTTAAAATCAACCACAGAACAAAGGTAATCAGTTCACTATGTGACAATCAAAATATGGTGGCTTAAGTCATGAAAAACAGACATCGGAAGACATCTGGAACGATAACATGCCAAAAAATTTGCAGCTCCTTTAAATGACGCATTTTCAGGTTACTGAGAAGAAACCTAAAATCAAGCAAAAAGTTATACTATCGTTTAAATTCATCTCGTTACTTAACAAATATCGAACATTTCAAATGGTTTTGAGCTGGCTGAACTGAGCCAACCAAATATCTCTTTGGTGAAAAATGGTTGCTATCTTCAGACTTTTCACTTGATTAACAAGACATTTGCAGCCAGGGGGTTCGACTAACCCCATTGGAAATGTGCAAAAAAGTGAAATCTCTACTTAATGTCAATAAGTGAGTGAAAAGAAGTCAATACACTATCGCTGATTAGTCACAGGATTGGTAAATATAGGTGGTAAAATTCTCTGTTATCCTCTTATTAGAGACTGAAAATTGTGTTCTAAATATTGTTTTAATTACCTATGATTGTTTACCTTCTGGGTTGTCCGGGATTATAAATCTTGCAGCGGAAATGAAGAAGGACTACAAGTTGACTCAGATGTATATGCCTTTCTATGCAGCTTGCATATCAGCTGCTTTAGGATTCCTGTTCTTTTTCTTGTCGTTTTCCAGTCCTTATTGGTTGCAGTCGTATGATCGTGTACATAGTTCTTTTCTCCACATGGGGATATGGTCTGTATGTTTTGACAAATTTGTGCATCCACAAGTACTATTCTTAATAATAAGTCCGATTTATCAGAGTTTAGGATTACCACGCTAATGTGTTGACCGGGTGCTTTTGGGTATATGATCGTTTTTTCTTCAAGATTGGCATATGGCAGTGGCTAAATCCATACTGGTTGATTGGTGTCCAAGTTTTAATAACTATAGCATTTACGGCAAAATGTTGCGTCATTTTAATCCTGGTCTTGTACCACTTGTTGTTTGGTCATCCAGCTGCTGAATCAACTATGGCTCTTGTTGGTGAGGTGAGTAAAATCACTTAGATTAGCGATCAGTAATCACCATTACTTTATTCGCATAATTAAATTCTTTTTATATCATTTACTACCTTATCTCGGCTAGGGGTTACTGTTTTGCCATAATGAGTTTGAACTTACTTGTATAGTTATGCGATAGTGTTAATTTTCTAGTAGGTAACCCACTACTCATCTCAAAAATGAAAAGCAGGGCTTACGTAATAGGATCTTGTAGTTGCCGTTTTTGTGTATCATTCACCTTTGATGGAACTGGTGGGTTGGGATATTTGAAGTCATTTGTGCAATTACAACTTGGAACTACTCTGTTGAAGGATCAAGTTTTTAGCACAGTCAATTTAGTTACCGCATAAATTCTGCGATAGGCTTCTGTGAAGAGGTTTGTTGACATAAGGATATATGAAAAAAGCTCACTATTTTCAAATCAACAAGAATGAAATTTTCGTGGCTGTAGGCGTAGCTCTCAACTTAATGTTATCAATTAATTATAAGTTGAAATAGGATTTTATATTATTAAGAACACTATTATGAACACTCAGTAAAATCTTGGATCGTCACACGTTTATTAAGATGCATGTAAATTAATTTACCAATTTACGACGACATACTTGAATGTTCGTTAGAAAAG